CAGACAGAGAGTGTGAGAGCCGTGACGACAAAGAGTGTGAAGCCTTGACGACAAAGAAAACTGGGCCACGTCTTGCGTTAGCCACCTCACCTGCAGCCCACCTGCCAAGCAGCCATTACTTTTTGGTCAGGTTTAGTTTTCTCTCCTCTCGTTTCTCTCTCTCTATTTTCCTCGGCATTGTCTTGCGGTTTTGTGTGCGGCGCCAGGCTTTCACGAGCCGGCACAACGTATCTTTGTCACTTGTCGTTTGAGCCGGTTAATGAGATGATATGGCGCTAACGTGCCGGTCATCTCATTTAGAGTAAGTTTTGCGTATTATTTTGATTTTTGCGTATTATTAGTGGTTTTGTATTCTCATCGGCACTCAGGGAAGTGCAAGTGTAATAAAAGGTCAATTAACGAAGTTGAGTGTGTGAAATCATTGAATGTACACCTTCTCCTTTCTGCTTTGTTAGGAGCGACACACCGCCTCCCTTGCCCTCCCCTTAAATAATTGGCGATAGAGGATATTTCAGGCCAACTCTATTTCAAAGTATGTTATTCGTTTGGTAGATTAAAATTCGTTTGCGTAAGATATAATTTCTCCTTAGTTTGTTTATTAATTTGGAGGTTGACGGAACCTTGAGCGGTCTTTCACCTATTGTGTTTATCTAATTTAACTTTTCGCACGTGACATCATAGCGAGATGTGCTGTTTTCAAAGTGCGAAACGTCCGATAGTTCATTGCCTCGGCTTGAATACAAAGCTTCCGTTAAATTGATAGAAGGAATGAAATATTTTTATTTGTAATTGTAGGACAATCATACGTATTGTTTTGGTCGTCTTGATTTTCATACCGACTGGCCAGACGAGTACTTTTATAAAGTTTATTCGAACTTTTTTTCCACCATTAGAATATTTCAATGCATGATGTTGTTAATGATAAAAAATGAAATTGAACGAAAGTATAATCTCTTAGAAATAAGCGACATAAGCGATGATGAAACATGCATAAAACTATTTATGTACCTTACATTTTTTCTATCATTCAAAAGCAACAACATTGATAGTGGGAATATAAGAATCACTAAAATAGACAATGTACAGTATAGGTAACAGTTACTTATTAATCGTATCAATTCACTCGTCTAATGTAGATAAGTGATTTCACATCATTCTCTAGTTCATTGCAGGTACAAACTTACACATATATATTTTTTTAGTATACTTATTTGACGTTATAGCTATAATAAGTAGTGTTATTCAAGTATGACATATATTTTTAATAAAAAACATAAACAAGTAGTTATGAATTTGATTGTTCTTATGATTACTGCATTATATTAAATAAAAAATGCTGGAATAAAATGTTCATGAAATTATTTATGTATACTCGGCGAAGCTTGGATCTGGTGGAACGATTTGAAACGAAAGAAAGGATTTTATTAATCCTTTCTCTTCAAATGGATGCAGTGATTGGTTAGTAGTTTTCAAAACGGTCCACAAGATACAGCGTCCCCTGAGTGTACATTACATTTTTTCAATTATTCAAAAGTGACAACATTGATAGTAGGAATAGAAATAACTACAATGGACAATATATAGTATATATAACAGTTAACTATTAATCGTATCAATCTACTCGTCTGATGTAGATGAGTGATTTTCCCAGTCTCTGCTGATTAATACAAGAACCATTGAAAAAAGTTTCATGTGCTTTGTTCTCAAACACATTGCAAGCCTCCGTCGCTGATTAGCACTAATGGAGCATAAATAGAGCGACGTTAAATAAAAAAAAATTTTTATTACAGGTACAAACTAACATATATATTTTGTTAGCATACCTGCTTGACGTTCTAGCTATAATAATAATAATAATAATAATAATAATAATAATAATCGGACTGGGAACGGAAAGTGCATCTCTTTGCACCAAACGCATATGGGAATGCGCGAGCCGTTTGCGAGTTCGATACGACGGAAGCAACGAGACTGATGGGCAGGGAACGCATCAAAATAGGATGGATGAATTGTCGAGCTCGACTCCGCATTCATCCTCAAAGATGCTTCAACTACTCGGGTACGGACATACGCGGAGAGAATGTAAAGGGCTGGACAGAAAGAACTGCTGCATGAAATGCGGACAGACGAGTCACGTGGGCAAAGAGTGTAAAAACACAACTGACTGCTTCCTCTATAAGGGGATAGAAGGACAGAACCTGGCCCACATGCCTGGATCAGGCGGGTGCGCCGTATACAGAGCAGCACTGATGGAACTGAAGACGAAACAGAAAAAATGACCCTGACGATACTACAATGCAATGTGAACAGGAGTAGCGAGCACACATTCTCCTCCCTCAAATTGCGATCGAGACGAACACAGACGTGCTTGTTATAAGCGAACAATACAGGAACAGACCTGAGCCATCATGGTTCGCTAGTAAATCGAACACGACGGCGGTGTGGGTATGCGGAAACGAAGCGATGCAAGTCTCGGCAAGCGGGTCTGGGGCGGACTATGTTTGGGTGAGGATGGGCACTGTCGTTATCGTCAGTGTATACCTGTCACCGAACTATTCCGCGTTGGAGTATGCCAACAGACTCGCAGATATCGGAGACGCAGTGAGGAATATATCCGGAAATACGATCGTGGCGGGCGATTTTAACGCGAGGGCGATTGAGTGGGGTATGCCCACGATAAACAGACGCGAATGATTACTACTAGAGATGGCCGCGAGGCTAGAACTAGTAGTGGTGAACGAGGGAAAGACGGCAACATTTAGACGACCGGGGTGGCGTCAATCTATACCAGACGTGACCTTGGCCACAGACAGACTACTGAAGCGAATAAGAGGATGGAAAGTGATTGAGGAATATACACCCAGTGATCACCAATACATCATTTTTAAAGTGACAGACGAAAATACGACTAGACGAAGAAGTAACGTGTTACCCCCTCTACGATGGGACACGAAACATCTGGACAGAAAAGAACTCGACAGACTACTGCAAAATGCAGAGCCTTTTACGGGAACCACTCGAAGTGGTACGGACCGTGACTCGGCGGAGAAGTTAGCTGAGGAGGCGAAAAAATACCTCCGTCTTCTATGCGAGGCTATGATGCCGAAAAAACTATACGGACGCAACTGGCGACAGATGTTCTGGTGGACGCAAGAAATCGCAGACATCAGACGCGAATGTCACCGGCGACGTAGACAGGCACAAAGACAAAGAAACAGACATGACGAAGAAGCCTTAGAGGCATACAAACTTGCCAGAAAAAGGCTGAGGCAAGCTATAACGGACAGCAAACGACAATGCTGGACACGACTGACAGACGAAGTGGACTCGGACCCGTGGGGGATTGGTTACAAAATTGTGACCCGGAAACTAGGCGTCCGAGCTCCACCGGAGACAAAGGACGCTAAGACAATGGAAAAGATAGTTGAGGGTCTTTTTCCAACGCATTCTGACAGAATCGATGACACGAACACGGAAGAAGAAATAGAATGTCCTTGCTTCACAAGGGAAAAGCTTATACGAGCGACAACCTTGCTGAAGATGAACAAGGCTCCTGGACCAGACGGTATACCGGGTGAACTGCTACGGTATGTACCGACTCGATGGCCCGACTTACTCTTGCAGTTATATAGTGGGTGCCTGACAGCGGGTGTTTCCAGTAAACTTTGGAAGAATGCGAGGTTGGTACTCATTGGCAAAGGTAAGGGAGACCCCGATAAGCCGAACTCGTATAGGCCCTTGAACCTCTTCAACACGACCGGCAAATTATACGAACTGCTACTGATCGCGGCGGTGCAAGCCGCTAGCGACCTATCGGACCGGCAACACGGCTTCCGGAAACGACGCTCAACGATAGGAGCAATCACAGACGTAAGACAGGTAGTTGACAAAATGAACAAGGTTTGCTACGGAGCTAGACCTATAACGCTCCTAGTAACATTAGACATAAAGATCGCCTTCAACTCTGCTAGGTGAGTGGATATTCTGAGAGCACTAGACGGCTTTCAGATGCCCGTCTACCTTCTAAGAGTCCTGAAGGATTACTTAAAGGACCGAAGACTGACGTATGAAACGGAAGAACGGAAGTACCGGAAAATTATAGCGGGGGTGGCACAAGGATCCATACTGGGTCTCGACCTCTGGAACATACTGTACGACGGACTAATAAAGCTCGACATGCCCCCGGACACGCGTATGGTCGCCTACGCTGACGACATAGCAGCCGTAATAATGCGGAGAGCAGCGCAGAAATTATAATTGGTGTTTTCCGAGTTATCCTGAGTGCCGATACGAGCCGACCTGGAAGTACAGCAGCGGTGCCTTCTCCCGTTTGGAAAGTGTGCCTACAAGTGTGCGTGAGCGCAGAGTTTCGCCATCGAGGGCGAAGCCGTAAACGTGAGATACCATCGCCCGCAGATAAACATTGCCGAAAGACTAGCGTGTGCCATGTGAGTCTCCGAGACCTCACTTGTTACCCGTGCGAGAGTTAATAAGGTAAGCTGGCCAGCTTGATTTCGCGATTGCTAAATAATTGCTAATAACTAATCTCTCGTGCTCCGTAATAAGCGTGCATGTAATAACTCGGCGAACAAAGAGTGGCGAGCGATCCGACACTGCATGTTATTGTCGCGCGCACGCGTCTTGTAAACATAAACACGCGGGCCGAATGCAGTGTAGCATTAAAAGGCAATAAACGATCTCGCTTGTGATATTGATCGTAATTCTGGTATTGTTATTTCTCAATAGTAGATAGTTGGTTGCCTGACACCCGTTCCCTCCTGTTCTCCGAATTTCGAATTTGAACGTGTAGATAATCCCACGCGCTCTTCGATACGATCGCGCGCATAAATTAAATAAACGGATAGCTACCCCGTTACAATATATAGATGGGTATAAGTAATAAAAATATTTTGACAGTATGAATTCAAATCAGTTTTTGAAACGGATTTCGAGAATAAAAATTGTAGTAGGTTATTATTATAAAAAAGTCAATCGGTTACCTTTCAAAGCGTTCATAATATCAACAACATTTTTATCCCAATTAACATTCAATGCTAGATGAACAGCATGCCAATCTCTTTGCCACATTTTTTGAGCTACTATCCAGATATTTTTTATATCTATGCTATTATTTTTAATATTTGGTGGGATCCTTTTCCATAAGTACTTCGCATGACATCTATAAAATGCATTATATTCGAAATATAGAAACGATCAAAAATATAGTCTATACATATACTTTAATAAAATATAATGAGGCATATTAGTGTCTTACTCCGCGTCCTTGTATTGAAAGTAACATTGGTGTAAAAACACCTGCACACATGAGTCAGGTTATCACATTCGTTATTGGGAGAGAAAAAGGATGTTTATAAATAATATGTTTTGAGACTGCAGGATTCTAGCATAAAAATATGTGAGTTAATCGCCAGATCTAAGTGCTCAAAATTTTTCTTATATTTTTCCCTCTGAAGATGTGCTTTGTCCGCTCATTATTTGGTGTAGGTAATGAACCAGCTCTCCTCCATAGGTGGTCTCCATCGAGCCATCTCTTTTGTGACCAGAGTCAAAAATGCAGAAGAATAATTTTTGTAGTACATTATCAAGGAAGAATCAGATATTTTACTACTATCACTAAAGACTAATGAATCAAGTTCCATAAGAATTGCGCATGATCTACGTGAAAAATAGCGTACATTGACCGTTACACACTTTCATCCACCATTTAATGTTATAATTAACGTTAACGATCGATTTCATTGCCACGGTATGAAATACTTATGCAATTAAATTCCATATTCATTATTATATGTTTCCCCTACTTTTTTTCTTATACAGTGTGGCTCATTTTAATTTATCCACGTAAATTGTTCCGTTCCTAAGCGCGGTATAAAACAATAGTTTAGACAAAAGTCGCCTATGACGGAGGGTAATTTGGTATAATTTATTTTGACTTGAACTTTATTTTCAAGATAACTTGAAGGTCAACTTCATTTTTTTAAATCGAAACTCCCATTTTTGACACCGGATCTGAAAAAAGCGACGAATTTCACGTCGTAATGAGAATTTCAAAAAATTTTCTATGACCTTCAGAATGTTGTATTCTAAAATGTGCTTGGCATCTATAACTGCAATAACTGCAAGAATAGTAACAACATGAGCATCATCTTTGTTGAACTCACGACGTCGACGATGGCGAGCAAGGCGTTTTCGAAAAAATTAATTTCTAAACAAAGATAATTTTTTTTAACTTTAACAGTACCCTATTTCTTCAAACACTATGAAGAACGATAAATAATTTTATATTGAATTTTACCCCCGCTCACTATTGAGTTTTACTTTGATACTTATTTTTTTATTATTTTCGTGATTATGCCTCTACTCATTTTTGAAATAAGTATAAATTATTTTAGAATAATATACGAGGACGGTCCGATAAGTACTTAGCCTCACCGCCCGATGGCGCCACTCTCGCAAAAGAAATATTCTATCACGTAGTACAACCTTCTCGATGGTTACTGTCAAGATTTCAGCTGGATCGGAGTTGTAGTTTATTTTTGAGAGCGTGTGAAAGCAAGTGTGTCCGTTGGTTTTTGAAAAATGGAAAAAGAGCAGTATCGGTCGGTGATTCGATTCTTGTTTTTGGAAGGGAAATCGCGCGACGAAATCAAAAAGCGCTTAGATGCTGTGTACGGTGACTCTTCTCCTTCGATGGCGACCGTCAAAAATTGGTTTAACGAGTTTCAACGTGGTCGCACGTCGATTTTTGAAGAGCCACGTCCAGGTACTCCGAAAACGGCTACCACGGAGGATAACGTGACAAAAATTCACGATCTCGTATTGGCAGATCGATGATTGAAGGTGCGCGAGATAGCTAAGATCGTAGGCATCTCAAAAGACCGCATGGGTCATGTCTTGCATGAAATTTTGGGCATGAGAAAGCTGTCGGCGCGATGGGTGCCGCGTTTGCTCACTCCGGACAACAAGCGCAACCGTGAGACAACTTCAGAGCAATGTCTGACACTGTTTAAGCGCAATCCGAAGGAGTTTCTGCGTCGTTTCGTGACAGTCGACGAAACATGGATCCACTGGTATACACCAGAGACCGAGAAACAGTCGAAACAATGGACTTTACCCGGCGAAAGTGCCCCGAAGAAGGCGAAGACTGCCCCATCGGCCGGAAAGGTGATGGCCACCGTTTTCTGGGATTCACAAGGTGTGATCTACATTGACTACCTGGAGCGGGGCAAAATGGTCACAGGGCTGTACAATGCCGAATTATTGGGCTGATTCGACGTCGAATTGCAGAAAAAACGGCCCAATTTGGCGAAGAAAAATGTGCTCTTCCACCATGACAACGCACCGGCTCACACCTCCGCCGTCGCCATGGCCAAATTGGTCGAATTAGGCTACGAACTGCTGCCCCATCCACCGTATTCTCCAGATTTAGCCCCGTGCGACTTCTTTTTGTTTCCAAACTTGAAAAAGTCACTCGCCGGGCAGAAATTTGAGTTGAATGAGGAGGTAATCGCTGCCACCGAAGCCTATTTTTCAGACCTCGAGGAAACGTGTTTTTCAGACGGGTTAAAGAAGTTGGAGCATCGCTGGGCAAAGTGTATCGAACTACAAGGAGACTATGTTGAAAAATAAAACGCCACTTTTCCAAAATTTTCGTTTTTCTTTTGTAGGCTAAGTACTTATCAGACCACCCTCGTATACTGGCTGGATTAGACGTTTTTTTACATACTATAAAGCGTTTTTCATAGTCATTGAAGAAATAGAGTGCTGTTAAAGTTAAAAAAATTATTTTTGATAAAATAATCTTTTATAAAAATGTTTAAATATCTAATTTGTGTTTAAGTTAAACGAAAATAATCCATTAATACTAACTACTTCTTAAGTTTTGTGATTGTTATCAAAAATTCTCGTTTATTGTACTACACTTGTAATATTAATTAAAACTTAACATTGATATTTAAATTTTTAACTTTTATAATGTCTGATTATTTTCCGAATGAGATTGTTGATATGATAATCATTTTAGGAGAGTGTCGTAATAATTATCGTGCTGCAGAAAAACCTTACGCTGAACGTTATCTAGATAGAAGACGTTCTACTCGTATAACAATACAAAGTTTAATTGCCAGAGCTCGGCGAGGATTCCTTGCTCGCCAACGTAGGCGTCGCGAGCACAACGAAGATGATGTTCGTGTTGTTACTATTCTAGCAGTTATTCAACTCAACTTATTCAGGGTCATGCCAAAATAGCATAAGACAGTGCTAAACTAACTATACCATTCATAGTTAAGTGAAAAAAAGGTACCCCTGTTTTTTCTTTTGCCGTTTGCAATTGTATGACGGGTGAGAAGGGACAAAAAAATAATAGTAGGGATTTCCTCGGCCTCATCTACCGTCGACATCCATGAGCGGCGTGCGCGGGTGCATACACAACGAAAATCAGAATCAAGAGTCGAGTCAAATTCAGGATGCAGTTTCTATTTGTACATGCGCGGGTATGTTGGGCGCCAGCTACTGTCTTCGCGTTAGGAGAACGGGTAGCGCTGCAAAGGTTTGACTGACTCAAGTACGCGCGCACGCGGGGAGAAAAGGGGAGGGGGAAGAGAGAGAGAGAGAGAGAGAGAGAGAGAGAGAGAGAGAGAGAGATAACGAGCTGTAAGCTGTTGTTGATGGCTGCTGCTGCTGCTGCCGTCGCCGCTGTTGCTGTTATTGTTGAGAACTTCCGTCGAGCTCCTCGACAGTTATTCTATTGACTCGCCCTTGGCCCACGTCGGCCACCTGTGAATACTACGCGAGGGTGGGATACGCAAAAGGGTTTTCAGTTGAGCGACGATGAGATTTAGAGAAGGAGGGGGGCGGGGAGAAACAGAAAGTGATACAATAAAAGTTTTGTGATGTTAATGTATGTTCTAAAAATGCGTGTTATGTGAAGTTTAGTAAAGGAAATCAGCAAAAACAATTTTAACATTTTTATAATTGTGGAAACAAACAAGTTCAAGATAATTTTCTTGGTGGCTGTATCAATATGCAAACAACTAAACATCAAACTAGAAATTCTAAGTACAAAGATATTCGCAAAGTATGGAAATATTCGATAAAAATTGATGGATTATGTGTGACAGTATGCCAAAAATTTTTAATAACGTTATATCAAATTAGTCTTAAAAGGATTAGAGTTTTACAAACAAAAATATACTCTAATAGCGTAATTCAAGACTATCGCGGGAAACGTCTTAATTAACCTTACAAAATTCAATCTAGTATTTGGAATTTAGGTGAAAAACTTTTAAAACTCATTCCTCACAGAAAATCGCCATACGCAAGAGCCAAGAAAATAGAAACTATTTTGTTGATTCAAATTTAAATATTAAAATATTATACGAACTTTTTCAAAGTTATTATGAAGAGAAAACTAATACTTCACTAAAAATGTCATATCACTCTTATTTATTGTTTTCCAAAAAGTCAAATTACTCGTTTAGTTTACCACGAACAGACATGTGTGATTTTTGCACTGCGTCAAAAGTCAAGTTACAAATTAATTTCGACGATCGCTGTAAAGTTATGTTTACATTGCACGAGAGGTTACAAAGCTTACACAAAAATGAAGAAAGACCTTATAGCTACTTATAACGATGAAAACAAACGAAAACTTATTCTTGAATTTAACTACGGTCAGAATTTACCTCTGCCGAAACTGAATGTTTCGTCGCAATATTACAAGAGGAACTTTTATCTCTATGTATTTAACATCCATTGTCATAATGATGATAGCAGTGAATTATTTTATTTTTTCGAAAATGAGTCAAAAAAAAATTCCATCTTCGTGTGTGCTTTTGTTTATCATTTTTTATCAAAATGCCTTGAAAATAATGAATAAAACGAAATAGTACTTTTGTTAGATGGTTGTGGTGGACTAAACAAAAATATCATATTTGTTTTCTTTTGTACACGATTGTCTATCCATTTAAATAATATTATCACACACATCTTTCCTGTTGTTGGACACTATTTCAATTAGTGTGATCGCAATTTCGGCCAATATGGAAAAATATTAAAGAAAACTGAAACAGTTGAAAGTGTTTATGGCTATGTAAAAATAATTAAATCATGCCGACATAATCCTACACCCTTCGAAGTTACAAATGATGGTCCACTAAT